ATATTAATTAAATTTTAATATAATAATAAATATTATTATTATATAATGATTAACTCACCTTCAGTGCAATATTCTTTAAGAACTTCTGCAATTTATTAATTTTTTCAAGTAGAATATTAGCTTCCACAAATACTTTAGTTAATGTCAAATTGATATCTTGTTTCTTTATAATAGTTTGTTCATTCGAAGATAATTTCATATTTTTTCTTTTTTTATGTGATGCAAAATTAAGATGGTTATCAGTTATGGATTTTTTAGTGTGATTTACAACATATTTACAAGTGATACAAAACATTTGATCATTTGATACATAGAAGTCTTATATAATTATTGGAATTAATATGTTCTAAAGCTGTTATCTTTGCTTTTCTCATTGTCAAAATTGGATGGTTTAATTAAATATCTGATATTAATATGATGTAACAATTATCATTCAGTAATTATAGGTAATTGTGATATAATTATGGTGCATAAATGGTAATTGTGATAATTATTAACGATAACAATTATATTAAATATGCTTTTATTATTCGTTTACAAATGCTCACACAAATGCTGCACAAATCACATGAATTTGATAAAAATTAATCGTATTTTATGCGCCTATTATGTGATCGCATATGTCCGTGGTCTCTAATCCGAACAGATTAGCAGAACGACCCAGTAGTAGATTACCCAAAATGACTTATCAATTTGTTATATTCATTACGGCGCGTTGGCGAAATTAAGCAAAAATTGGTCACCAAATCCAATCATTTGGCTCCCAAATTTAAATTTTGGTTATCAAATTTTTCGGACCTCTGATTTGTACCGATAACGAGTCTAACCCCATTGGACATAGGAATTTATTAAATGACGCATCATAACTTGATTATCTCAGTCAAAATCTATATTACATATTAGTACATAGTCAAAATTTTCAAATGTCACACGCCCATATGTGTGATAAGATTCATAAGATTCCGTGTAACTTAGTCTTTGTAATGCCAATTGACCAATAAGTTGAATTATGCGATCAATAAGTCCGTCCAATCAATTTAATTCTATATATCAATATGTTTCATGTGATTTAAGGAAAGGACTTGGTCCCAAAGGACAGATTAACATTCCCAAACACTAACTCTAGTTTAACCTTTTTTTTTTGTTTCCTCGTTTAAGAATACAAAACTGCGACACAAGTACGCGGGCGAAGTTGAAGCCTGACTAATATATCATTTAATCAGCTTTTATAAAATGAATCCACGCGTATTTTTTGACATTGATATCGATGGACACCGAGGTTGGTCGTAGTTATTATTTACCGATTCGATTCAAAATCTGTAAACGTAAGTTTTAATTTTATCATTGTTTCACTGTTAGTTGGCAGGTACATGGCTGATTCAAATCGAGCAATATATAAGACCTTTACCAGCTGTTTGGAGACATCTCAATGGCAAAAACCGTCGTGCTTCAAACTCGTAAACTGAACCAATTATGACTTACATTATTCCATTGTGCTTCCAAAGGATTGTTATGGAATTATTTAAAGATGAGGTCCCTGTATGTATTTCTATTTAAAAACAGAATGTATATAGAACATTATACTGACTAGATGTTTAACATTATATATATTCTCAGATAACCGCGGAAAATTTTAGAGCTCTCTGTACTGGTATGTAATTTCAAAAAATTTCTTAATCCTGCATTATTGTTTATTATTAACACTTTGAATGTAATTTCTTTAGGCGAAAAAGGTGTCGGAAAACAAAGCAATATGCCCCTTCATTATCGTGGTTCTATCTTTCATAGGTAATATAAATTTTCTTTTAGAAATATTGAAATATTTTGATCCTTTGTTTTAAAAAAGTTTCTGTGTCATTACACTCTTTTAATAGGGTAATCAAAGGATTTATGATACAGGGAGGAGGTAATTGTATAGTCGACAATATCCTTTTAGATTTTTTATTTAAAAACAGAAAAAAAAAAAAATTAGTGCGATTATGGCATTCAAGTTCCTAAGGACTCAAAAATTTTAGATTTTACAAGAAGAAATGGTACCGGTGGTGAAAGTATTTATGGAG